GTCACCGGCTGCACTGCGCCTCCTCGCCTCACCTGCAGTGCGCCTCGCCTGCAATGCGCCTCACCTGCAGTGCGCCTCACCTGCAGTGCGCCTCACCTGCAGTGCGCCTCACCTGCAGTGCGCCTCACCTGCAGTGCGCCTCACCTGCAGTGCGCCTCGTACGTGCGACCCAGCAGGTCCTCGGGAAACAGCTCAACATGCTTGGGGTACGGCACTACGGGCCCGGGCAGCACGTAGGGGTACAGGGACCCACTCTCCACTCGCAGGGGCTCTGGGCCCAGCACCTGAATGGGCTGCCCTGGGTTGGTGGTGTCGTACAAGGCCAGCGAGTAGCGAGGGCTGGTTCCTGCTTGCAGGCACATGCATGCAACGAGGAACACACATGCATGGCATTGGGCACAGCATGCATGGCATTGGGCACAACATGCATGGCATTAGGCACAGCATGCATGGCATTCGGCACAACATGCATGGCATTGGGCACAACATGCATGGCATTGGGCACAACATGCATGGCATTGGGCACAACATGCATGGCATTGGGCACAACATGCATGGCATTAGGCACAACATGCATGGCATTAGGCACAACATGCATGGCATTGGGCACAACATGCATGGCATTAGGCACAACATGCATGGCATTAGGCACAACATGCATGGCATTGGGCACAACATGCATGGCATTGGGCACAACATGCATGGCATTGCGCACAACATGCATGGCATTGGGCACAACATGCATGGCATTGGGCACAACATGCATGGCATTGGGCACAACATGCATGGCATTGGGCACAACATGCATGGCATTGGGCACAACATGCATGGCATTGGGCACAACATGCATGGCATTGGGCACAACATGCATGGCATTGGGCACAACATGCATGGCATTGGGCACAACATGCATGGCATTGGGCACAACATGCATGGCATTGGGCACAACATGCATGGCATTGGGCACAACACGCATGGCATTGGGCACAACAGGCATGGCATTGGGCACAACACGCATGGCATTGGGCACAACATGCATGGCATTGGGCACAACACGCATGGCATTGGGCACAACATGCATGGCATTGGGCACAACATGCATGGCATTAGGCACAGCATGCATGGCATTCGGCACAACATGCATGGCATTGGGCACAACATGCATGGCATTAGGCACAACATGCATGGCATTGGGCACAACATGCATGGCATTGGGCACAACATGCATGGCATTGGGCACAACATGCATGGCATTGGGCACAACATGCATGGCATTGGGCACAACATGCATGGCATTAGGCACAACATGCATGGCATTAGGCACAACATGCATGGCATTGGGCACAACATGCATGGCATTGGGCACAACATGCATGGCATTGGGCACAACATGCATGGCATTGGGCACAACATGCATGGCATTGGGCACAACATGCATGGCATTGGGCACAACATGCATGGCATTGGGCACAACATGCATGGCATTGGGCACAACATGCATGGCATTGGGCACAACATGCATGGCATTGGGCACAACATGCATGGCATTGGGCACAACATGCATGGCATTGGGCACAACATGCATGGCATTGGGCACAACATGCATGGCATTGGGCACAACATGCATGGCATTGGGCACAACATGCATGGCATTGGGCACAACATGCATGGCATTGGGCACAACATGCATGGCATTGGGCACAACACGCATGGCATTGGGCACAACATGCATGGCATTGGGCACAACACGCATGGCATTGGGCACAACATGCATGGCATTGGGCACAACATGCATGGCATTGGGCACAACATGCATGGCATTGGGCACAACATGCATGGCATTAGGCACAACATGCATGGCATTGGGCACAGCATGCATGGCATTGGGCACAGCATGCATGGCATTGGGCACAGCATGCATGGCATTGGGCACAGCATGCATGGCATTGGGCACAGCATGCATGGCATTGGGCACAGCATGCATGGCATTGGGCACAGCATGCATGGCATTGGGCACAGCATGCATGGCATTGGGCACAGCATGCATGGCATTGGGCACAGCATGCATGGCATTGGGCACAGCATGCATGGCATTGGCCCTTGGGCACAGCATGCATGGCATTGGGCACAGCATGCATGGCATTGGGCACAGCATGCATGGCATTGGGCACAGCATGCATGGCATTGGGCACAGCATGCATGACATTGGGCACAGCATGCATGGCATTGGGCACAGCATGCATGGCATTGGGCACAGCATGCATGGCATTGGGCACAGCATGCATGGCATTGGGCACAGCATGCATGGCATTGGGCACAGCATGCATGGCATTGGGCACAGCATGCATGGCATTGGGCACAGCATGCATGGCATTGGGCACAGCATGCATGGCATTGGGCACAGCATGCATGGCATTGGCAGCCATGGCATTGGGCACAGCATGCATGGCATTGGGCACAGCATGCATGGCATTGGGCACAGCATGCATGGCATTGGGCAGAGCCACACATTACACTAGATGCAGAACCACAGCAGCAGGCAGCAACTGGGTAGAAGAAAACACACTAGAAGGTGGGAGAGCTGGGTACAAAGTTGCTCAAAATCGTTGCAATGACGGGCTTAAGTTGGGAAGAGGAGGAGAGATGGGGAGGAAGAGGAGAGATGGAGAGGAAGAGGAGTGGCGGGGAAGAAGAGGAGTGGTGGGGTGCAGGGCAATGACGTGAAATAGAGGGATGATGGGGAAGAAAAGGGGGATGGGGAGGAGATGGAACCGTTATGAAGCAGCGCGAGGACGCTTGTCATTTCCTCCTGCAGAAAATTGAACCCCGCCCACATGGTGCTCACGCTCTCCCTCTGCTGCTCTGCTGTCGCGCCCGGTGGAATCGAATGGCGCTGGATGGGTATCAACATCACTGCATGCATGGCGGGATGGATGGATGAATGGGCGGATGGACAGGTGGATAGATCGAGGGACAAATGGATGGATGGATGGATGGATGGATCATGGCACATTGCGATGGCACACATCCACCCGTGCCTACACATTCACCCGTCCCCACACATTCACCCGTGCCCACACATTCACCCGTGCCCACACATTCACCCGTGCCCACACATTCACCCGTGCCCACACATTCACCCGTCCCCACACATTCACCCGTGCCCACACATTCACCCGTCCCCACACATTCACCCGTGCCCACACATTCACCCGTCCCCACACATTCACCCGTCCCCACACATTCACCCGTCCCCACACATTCACCCGTCCCCACTCCCCACACATCCACCCATGCCCACACACCCACCAATGCCCACAAGATGTTTGCCGAAGAAAATAGGCGCAGAGGCGGCAGGAACGCCCTGGAGCACGGAGGCGAGGGTGGCTGGGGGCACGCTGGCAGAGAAGTCCGTGAGGGGCGGGATGGGGTCCGACGCCTCGATGCTGCCCAGCACGTTCACTATGTAGAGTGGCTTGCGGGGGGCCGGGAGGCCAAGGAGGGTCAAGATGGGCCGCCCTGTGATGCGCTCCACTGTAGGTCTGCGTAGGCGGGCGGGCAGGCAGGAAGACGCATGGTTAGCATGCACGGTTGAATTCAGGGATTCTCAGAATTGACTCCGCGATGGGCGCCCGCCCTGTGATGCGCTCCACCGTGGGTGTGGGCGGGCAGGCGGAAGATGCATGGTTCAGGTTCTGCGTCTGCTTTTGAGTCGACTCAAAAGAAGATGCATGGTTCAGGTTCTGCGATTTCCATCAAGTGACTCCACCATGGGCCGCCCTCTGATGCGCTCCTCCACTGGCCTGGTGTGGGGGGGGAGGAGGGCCGGCAGGCAGGCGGGCGAATGGTGAAGGCAAGTGGCAGGAAGAAAAGTGAGAGGGAGAAAAGGGTCAAGATCAGTCGAGCTGATTGTCGGGCAGGTAGGCGCATGCCAGGCACTCAGGCAGGAGGCAGGAAGCAGGAAGAAGAACAAGTGGACCGGATCAAACATGGGTTTGACCGAACGGTCAATACTGGCACAGTAGGTCGGCAGGCATGATGCGGAGCCATGTAACGTTACCCTACAATGTGCCTGTAGTGGGCACCACCAGGCTGGGGGTGCCAGCCAGCCAGCACTACAGTCTGGGGCAATCCTGCTTGGCAAGTCGGCTCAGCTCCAGCCAGCCAGGCTGACTCGGTGAGCCGCATGCAGTTGAAACCGTACCGCCAAGCTCACTCTGGCTCGGGTCGTCCTCCACCCCCTCCCCCGCCCCTTGTCCCGCCCCCTCCATCCCCCCTTCCCCCTCCCCCTCCCCTCTCTCACGCACACCTGTCAGCGTCCTCCACGAGCATGATCAGGGTGCCCGTGGCGAGGTCCGACATGCCGAGGCACGTCGCCGCCCACTCCTCCCCATCCACCCTAGACCGTGAACCCGAATTCCTCGCTCCTCCTCTCACACACACCTGTCAGCGTCCTCCACGAGCATGATGAGCGTGCCGGTGGTGAGGTCAGCCATGCCCAGGGTGGCCGCATTGTACAGCTCCATGCTGCGGTTGTCCGCACACCCCGCCAGCCCCCAGTACGTGAGGTTGGTGCTGCTGCGCTCGCCGTACCCGTTGAATACGCGCACCAGCGCTGACATCTCCTGCCGTGGCGGGGGGGTGGGGGAGAGGGGAGGGAAAGCAGAAAGATTCCGTTGAACACGCGCACCAGCGCTGACATCTCCTGTGCTCGCAGCCAGCCCCACAGGCCGAAGCGGAATAAGGGGAGAGGGGGGGGGGGAGGAGGGGGGGGGGGAAGGGGGGGGGGGGGGGGGGGGGTGTGTGGGAGGGAAAGCACAAAGCTCCCATTGAACGCGCGCACAGCACTGACATCTCCTGCCCTCCTCGCAACCCACAGGGCGAAGCACACCAAGGGAGGACGCGGAAACGTGGCAAAGGGAGAGAAGGCCGTGGCAGAGGCAGGACAGGCATGCCAGCACGGAAGGGCATGGCATGGAAAGGGGCAAGGGAAGGGTGCGATGGCAGGTTGGAGGGTGGTGCTGGTCGGTGCAATCTCGCTGAGCCCAGCTACTTCTTCCCCAGCCCCATCAACCCTTCTCCTTCCTCTGCCGCCTCGCCTCCCGTCCCTCTCCACTACGCCCCTCCTCTCCTCTCCTCTCCGCCCTCTCCTCTCCGCCCCTATCCTCTTCTCGTCCCCTCTCCTCTACGCCATTCTCCTCTCTGCACCGCTCCTCTACGCCATTCTCCTCTCTGCACCGCTCCTCTACGCCATTCTCCTCTCTGCACCGCTCCTCTACGCCATTCTCCTCTCTGCACCGCTCCTCTACGCCATTCTCCTCTCTGCACCGCTCCTCTACGCCATTCTCCTCTCCACCCCTCGCCTCTCTCCTCTCCGCCCCTCTCCTCTCTGCCCCACTCCTTTCCGCCTCTTCCTCTACGCCTCTCTCCTCTCCGCCCCTCTCCTCTCTGCCCCACTCCTTTCCGCCTCTTCCTCTACGCCTCTCTCCTCTCCGCCTCTCTCCTCTCCGCCCCTCTCCTCTCCGCCCCTCTCCTCACCGCCCCTCTCCTCTCCGCTCCTCCCCGCTACGCCCCTCTCCCTAGGTGGAGAACAAGGGATCGGCGCAGAAGGGGGCGGCTGGAGCGGAGGGCATTGCTTCCCCTCTGATACAAAGGCGTTTCGAGGGTCTCAAACAGCGTTTCGAGGGTCTCAAACGGCGTTTCGAGGGTCTCAAACGGCGTTTCGAGGGTCTCAAACGGCGTTTCGAGGGTCTCAAACGGCGTTTCGAGGGTCTCAAACGGCGTTTCGAGGGTCTCAAACGGCGTTTCGAGGGTCTCAAACGGCGATTCGAGGGTCTCCAACGGCGTTTTGAGAGTCTCAAACGGCATTTTCAGGGTCACGCGGCATTCGAAGGTCACCAAGGGTCGCGAGCGGCATTTCGCGTATCTCAAGCGGTGCAACGGGAGGGACAGGCGCGGCTGACGATTGCCGCCGGTGTCAGTCGTTCCGTGGTCGACGGAGCAAGCGAGCCGCCCGCACAGTTGTCTCTCGCGATCATTGCTAGCAATGCCGCGGTGCGTTGCTGTGGGGCGTCGCACCTGCACGCGCGAGACGGACGAGAGAAGGCGCTGGTAGAAATAACGCACGCGCAAGCGGCACCACCCGCGCATCGCCTCCTCCCGCGGATTTGCGGCCTGCGTGTGCGCGAACCACACAACCCACGCGCACAGGCCCAACCATCCCGCCACCCACGCCGCCCCTAGCAGCGCCCTCCACACACCCCACGGCGGCGCGCCTCGCGGCGAAAGGCGCCACGGTCGGTGCATTCGGCGGAGGTGTTTGGTACGAGCAAGTAGAGTGTGCACAGCTGATGTGAATGATGGAATGTGTAGGGAGGATAGGTGGAGAATGGAATAGATTTGAAGGATTGGTTGGGTGGAAAAATCATATGGAAAGCAGATTTTTCTGACTTGTTCTGGTTTGGATGTGTGGTGGTGGCGGTGGTGGGAAGGGAAAGCGCGTTGATTTGAAGTGGAGAATTGCTGCAGAATCCAGATCTGTCCCACCGCAAACACACGACCAACAGTACAACAATTGTGGATGGCTGATATATTTAGATATTTTAAAGCAAGAGGACCCTCTCGGAAATCAGACTGGCGGTCCGGACAGAAAACAAAGGGAAAATATCAACGAGGGGCCGAACAGTGCCAGAGGGGTGATCGACCAGGGGCCGAGAGGCCCGGAACAGGGTTGTCGCTTGCTTTGGGTCCAGAACTTAGCGGGCTGAATTCAGCCCTTAATTATCCGGGTTGAGTCAGATTTCAACACTTAGATCCAGGGCTACACAACCTTCTGCACTTGAGCTTAACACATCGTGAACGTAGATGATGTTCAAATACACCTGAGGGCTGCGGTACATAGCCGGTCTACCATGCTAGGGGGGGGGGGGGGGGAGTATGTATGAAGGTTCTATGTAAGCAGGGGTAACATATCAAAGGAAATGAGGGGGTAGGGTGGTAGGTGAAGGCTCTGAGCGTACGTGAAATCCGGGTTAGGCGTTCAACCAGCCCGTAAGGAAAACGGGCCGCCCTCAAAGCCAGCCCTTGAATTCTCTGAGCTGGGCCTGAACCAGCACGTGAATTCAAGGGCAAAAAGGGCAAATGCCCTTGTAGCGACAGGCCTGGCTTGGAACTTCCCAAACCGCTACGCATAGAGGGATTAACATAGGGTCTTCTTTTATTGCACGTAATTATGTTATTAGTGGCATGTACCGGCTCGCATTTTCGCTCGCGTGTCGTTTAGCGAGCCGAATCTACTGGAAACTCTTAGGGCAGCCAAAAAAAACTACAACTCTTAGGGAACCTGGATGCATTTTCGGGATGGGTCAACCCTAAAACGGATAACTTCCTGGTATTTAGGGTTGATGCCTCCCGAGTCGCATCTGTTTCCGAATGGGTAATATATTTTTTTCCAGTGCGTCTACGATTGGGTAGGTGATATTTATCACCCATAATATAATATGCTATACGTACTCACGATTTGATCCGCTGAACTTTACTTCCAGAAGAAGGCGTCGCGTGCGCTGTAGTAGACGGAGGTCAAAACCCTCAATAAAAAACATGAATACACAATTTGGTTCTTCTAGCAAATATCGTTTACTTCCGGTTCGGCATGTTCGCCAAGTCAGTTTGGCAGCTCTGGGCTGAAATCCTACGGTCGAGATTTACCGGCCCTACTTTGAACACTCCTCTGGCAATGTTCTGTCAGAACATATAGCTTACTTGTTTCTGTAGGCTATAGTGGGGTATCCCATAGGGGGTACAACACAATTAGGGTTGCATATTTGTATCACTTTCATTCCTTAGTCATTCATTCTCGTTCTTTGATTTCACATGGAATCAGAGCAGGTTCCCTCCTAGGGACTGCTTCTAGGGCCCACCGACCCGCGCCCCGAGGCGCGTTTTTTTTTAGCGACCCGTCGTGTCGCCCCTAGCGGCCCGTTGCGCCGCCCTTCCCCTAGCGGCTCCGCCGCCCTTCCCTAGCGGCCCCGCCGCCCTTCGATCGCGGCCCCGCCGCCCTCTGCTACGCGGCCCCGCCGCCGCCCTTCGATCGCGGCCCCGCCGCCCTCTGCTACGCGGCCCCGCCGCCCTCTGCCACGCGGCCCCGCCGCCCTCTGATACGCGGCCCCGCCGCCCTTCGATTGCGGCCCCGCCGCCCTCTGCTACGCGGCCCCGCCGCCCTCTGCTACGCGGCCCCGCCGCCCTCTGCTACGCGGCCCCGCCGCCCTCTGCTACGCGGCCCCGCCGCCCTCTGCTACGCGGCCCCGCCGCCCTTCGATCGCGGCCCCGCCGCCCTCTGCTACGCGGCCCCGCCGCCCTCTGCTACGCGGCCCCGCCGCCCTCTGCTACGCGGCCCTGCCGCCCTCTTCAGTCGCGGCCCCGCCGCCCTCTGCTACGCGGCCCCGCCACCCTCTGCTACGCGGCACCGCCGCCCTCTGCTACGCGGCCCCGCCGAGCCGCCCAGCATCAGCCGAGCCGCCCAGCAGCAGCCGAGCCGCCGCCGAGCCGCCGCCGCCTGAGCCGCCGCCCGGGCCACCTGAGCCGCCGCCCGAGCCGCCGCCGAGCCGCCGCTGAGCTGCGGCCGAGCCGCCGCCCGAGCAGCCCGAGCCGCCCGAGCCGCCCGAGCCGCCCGAGCCGCCCGAGCCACCCGAGCCGCCCGAGCCGCCCGAGCCGCCCGAGCCGCCCGAGCCACCCGAGCCGCCCGAGCCGCCTGAGGAGCCGTGCTGCTGTTCCTGAGCTGTGTCCCTCTGCTGCTGACCTACCCGACTCTCCCAGCCCAGTGAGACTTTCAGCTGCTGCCATGGCCACCCCCAATGTTCTTACTTTTGACGCTGAGGGGAGGGCCATTGACTTTGCCGTCTGGATTGAAGACCTGCAGCTGTACTTACTGTGTGATGCGATAGATGAGGTCTCTCTCTTTGACTTTGTCTCTGGCGCTGTCCCTGCCCCACTTGCTGATGCTGACTCTGCCGTTCGCTCCAAGTGGGCGACCCGCGATGCTGCTGCACGTCTTGCTGTGCGTCGCCACCTCCCTTCCTCTGAGCGTGCCCACTTTAGTCAGTGCAAGACCGCTCAGGCCTTGTACGACGCTGTAGTTGCACGCTACTCCTCCCCTTCCTCCGCTACCCTTAGCCGCCTCATGCTACCGTTTCTCTTCCCTGACCTCGCTTCCTTTCCCACTGTCGCTGACCTCGTTACCCACCTCCGTGCTAGTGACACCCGCTACCGCGCTGCCCTTCCTGCTGAGTTCCGCGCTGCGAACCCTCCTCCCATGTACATCACTCTCTACTTTCTCGTCACCCGTCTCCCTGAGTCCCTTCGTGTCGTTCGGGACCAGTTTCTCTCTGTCTGTCCCACCACTCTCACTGTCGACCTCCTTGAGGAGTCCCTGCTAGCGGCTGAGAAGAGTATTGTCGCTGTAGGGGCCTCTCGGGGTGACCCTCGCACCCCCATCTTTGAGGGGTGTGGTCCTTCCCCCCTGCTGCCCTCTGTCGCCTCTGCCGCTGCGGCCGACCTCACTGGTTTTGAGTCGGTCGGCGCGGCGTCTGCCCCCAGCGGCAGACGCCGCTCTGGCAAGGGCAAGGGGGGCAAGGGAGCGGTTGGAGCTAGAGGGGGCGGTGGAGGAGGCGGTGGGGGTGGCGGGGGGAGTGGGGGTGGCGGTGGGGGTGGTGGCAGGAGTGGAGATACTGGTGGCGGCGGTGGCGGCGGAGGTGGCGGCGGAGGTGGTAGCGGAGGAGGCGGTGGGAGCGGTGGGAGCGACGGTCCTGGTGGGGGAGGTGGCGGTGGAGACGGGGGTGGCGGTGGAGGCGGGGGTGGCGGTGGAGGCGGGGGTCGGAGTGGCTCGTCCCAGCGGAGCAGCTCTGGGGGTGGTCAGCGCTAGCAGCAGCAGCAGCAGCAGCCGCAGCAGCAGCCACAGCAGCAGCAGCGCTCTCGCACCGTCCCCGCCCCTCAGCAGCTCCGTGAGTGGTACTCGCAGCGTCAGCGTGGTGGTGCGCTTGGTCCTTGCCCCTACGTTCTTCGCACCGGTGACCGTGCAGGGGAGAGGTGTGGAGGCGCCCACACAGCCCGCCGCTGCTTTGGCCGCCTGACTGACGCCTGGCGTCAGCAGTTTCCGGAGGCAGCTAAGATCCCCCGCTGGGGAGAGCTGTCTCGGGCTGGTGTAGCTATTTATGATCTTGATTTTGATGCTATTCTCTCTGCTATGTATGCTGCGATTGGTAGTGATGAGGATGACTGTTACCGGTGTTTCCCGCCCGACCCGGGCATTGGTACTGCCACGTCAGGTACTAGTGAGGCTGCTGCTCTAGGTGCCAGTGCGTCTGTGCTCTCAGGTGCTGGTGAGTCTGCCCTCTCAGGTACTGTGTCGGCTTCGGCCTCTCACACCTTCACCCTTGACTCTGGAGCGTCTCGCTCCTTCTTTAGGGACCGCACCACTCTCACGCCGCTGAGTCGGCCGGTTGCGGTGTCCCTGGCTGACCCCTCTGGGGGGCCTGTCCTGTCTCGCTTCTCCACTGTCCTCCCGTGTCCGGCGGCCCCCTCTGGCACCCTGACTGGTCTCTACCTCCCCTCGTTCTCGACGAACTTGGTGAGTGGTGCTGACCTCCAGGATGCGGGTGTCCACCAGTTCACCCCTGCTCGTCAGCGGGTGACCCACTGCACGGAGGCGGATACAGGTCGCCACCTGGCTACGTTTACACGTCGGCCAGGGTCGAGCCTGTACACACTGACCACTGCTTCTCCTCCAGGTGCTGAGTCTGGTAGGGTCCCTTCGTCTGGTCAGGTGTTTGCTGCAGCGTCCAGGTCTGGTCCTGAGTCTGCCCCCTGCTCGTGTCGTCGTCTGTCTCACGAGACCCTCCTCTGGCACCACCGCCTTGGCCACCCCTCTCTGCTTCGGCTCAGAGGCATGGCCTCGCGAGTCCTTGT